CCCCCCGGCAAAGTCATGGCCTTCAGCTGCTGTTTCAGCAGGAGCCATTAGTCCAAGAAGACACCCAGATCACAGCCCGGCTTCGATGGGGGATTGTGACCCCATTCAGGGACTGCTGGACCCATCTTCCAGGACGTGTGATGATGTGCACAGCTGTCTTGGAGGGGTTTAATCTGAGCTTATTTCCTCGTGGCTTTAATTATCCTTAAGTAGGCTAATGTAACTGCAACTCATGTTTTCCTATTCAGCAGTGTCATTTATGTGAGATTTTCCGAACACTTTTCATTCTCTGATTCTGACACTCCACCCTGTTCCTTTTACTCTTTCAGTTTTTTGTCGTCTTGCTGATCATTCTCCTGGCTGAACTGATATTACTGATTTTGTTCTTTGTTTATATGGACAAGGTAAGTGTTTATGTAGCCACACGCACACCACTAGGCTGTTTAGCTCATCCGCAGACCCAGCGCTCCCTTACTGTAGTGTAATTCCTTGGAGAAACACATGCACACATACATGCACGCGTACATCTTCCCTCAGAGGATGATGCACACCAAGGCAAGGGTGTTATTGAAGCAGGTTCTACAGAAAGGGTAGATCCAGTTGAATAAAGAAAGACACAAGAACTAGGTCAACGGAGAAAGAAATTAACGGTTTATTTATGGTGCTGTGCGTGACCTGTCGGAGAACAGCTGTTGGTCATCGCCAAACCATAAATTCTTCAGATAAAATTATGTAACTACAGAAGGAAAGGTCTGAAGAAACATTAATTTGCACACCAGTTCCTAACGGAGAACCTGCTAGGAGTATTTAGGCTGTTGATCAACTCGCTCCCGAAAGAAAATCTGTTTATGGCATTAAAAGGTGGAGAAAAAAAAATAGCTTGAAAATATACCTTTGTATGGGATTATACTTTTATGCCATCAGTCTTAAAACATTAATATTAGTATTCTTAATATTAGTATTAGTAAATATTAATGTCAGTATTATTAACGTTAGCATTAATATTGTTAATGTTAGTGTTACCTGAGCCCTTTTTGGTCAGGTCTGAGGTTGGGACGTAGCGCTGAGTTGACACTGATTGCGTTTATCAACGGCCTCTGAGGGAGCCAGGACCATCCTAGTTGTCCTTGACCTCTCGGCGGCTTCTGACTCCCTCGATCCCGGCACCTTTCTGGACCAACTACGGGGATTGGGAGTGGGTGCAGCCACGCAGCGGTTCTCCTCTTTACCCATGCCTGGTTCCAGTCGGGCTGACAGGAGGGGGAGGTTGAGGCGGAAGCCCCTGATTTGCGGGTCCCTGAGGGCTCAGCGCTCTCCGCTCCTGTTTCACATCCACACGAGGCCCCTGCGGAGGTCATCCATCAGCGTGGGATCAGGAACCGTCAGGATGCTGATGGTACTCAGACACATGTATCAAACTCTGGCTGGTGGCGCAATGCCGTCGAGGACTTCTCCCAGCACTTGGAGGAGAGCTGTGGGGGTCTCAGCAGTGGGTAGCAGACTAAGATCAGCCCCACAAGGCTGAGTGGCTGTGGGTTAGGGTTAGGGTTGTGGGTGCACGCACGGGCCACGGGATTCGGGGACTTCCTGTCCGAGTTCTGAATGGGTTGCACTTGCCCAGACAGAACTGGTGCACCATTTGGGGGTCTTCGGCTCCTGCTCAAAGACATGTAGCCGGGAAGGCCTTTTGCACAGATCCATCTTGGGCCGAAATGCACTCGTTCCTGGTCTCCTGGTCATTCATGCCTGCTTCTTTGCGTGCAGACTACCGCAGCGCACTCTACATGGGGCTGCAATGCACATTTAAAAAAGGTGCGACTTCAGTCACACTGATGCAGCCACCATCTTGACCATGTCCTGCAGACACCCCTACATTGAAGAATTTTTCTTTAAAGCCAATTTTCATCCAGAGTTCTCAGCCCATTAATGATTATTCTGTAAAAGAGATTCTGTTCCATGTGTTTTGTACCCTTACACAACGTCCAACCAGATCATGCGAAGAAGAATTGTACGTACAGAAAGTAAGAATTAGATCTTTTTAATACTGTAATTCTTTATATGAAATAGGTGAGTGAAAGCGCAAAGCAGGACCTGAAGGAGGGCCTCAAGCTGTATAACACAGACAATAACGTTGGGCTGAAGAACGCGTGGAATATCATTCAAGCAGAGGTAAAAGATAAGCGCCCACCCACGTCTTTGCAAACCACAGGCGGCCAGATCTGAGCCCGGACACCGGACGGCCGCTGCAGGACAGCAAAGGTCTTTGCTGTTCTGCAGCTGCCATCTAGTGGCCGTCCAAAGGTTTGCAGCCGCATTTGGTAGCTCTAGCAACATGCACCTTCTCTCCTTCTGAACTTATGGTCTGCATTGCTTGTAACCTTTTGCAACATCCTCACTGTGGAAAAGTATTCTTTCAGTGACTGGGCTCATCTATTGCACTAAACCATTATTTTCATAACCATTGTTTATTGGTAAACCATAATTGTGGAGTCCTTGGGGTTCTCTGAGCTTGGTTCTTTTCTTGCAAACGTTTCATTACTCGGCCAGGTAACATCTTCAGTGCTAAAATAAAATCAATCACCAGCAGTCATCACCCAGATAAGCCAAGGTTACCACCAGGCATACAATCAAGCAGCAAACACATGCCAATCAAAGAACTACCAGAGGAGCAAAACAGAACCCGCACCCCCACCAGCACTGGCAAGGCAGGCCACAGCATGTAAATAGGGAGCAAACCCCATCCCATTTTAGCACTGAGGATGTTACCTGGCCGGGTAATGAAACGTTTGCGAGAAAAGAACCAAGCTCAGAGAACCCCAAGGACCCCACAGTTCAACCCTGAGCGACACATATTCGCCTCTATTGAAACCATAATTGGCTGGGTTCAGCCACCATATTAAACCATAAGCCATACAAATCTCATTGCAAATGATATGTAAACCAAGCCAACGTCAAGCGACGTTAAGAGATAAACGAATAAGGCTTAGGCTATATGAAACCGATACGGAAGCGCTGGGAAGATCAGGGGCGGGGGGCAGAGGCACCCACAGGTAGCTATCCTGAAAAAAAGTGCATCGTGACGTCACAACACAGGCTCCGTCCTTCTGTGTTTGCATCGTGATGTCATTCCCAAGAGCCCAAGGGGCAGGCTTAGCATCCTAATGCCCATTTTTTCACGACTCCCGGTAGCCATCGTGGCCTTAGGTTTGCACTAGAATTGCAGTAAGGCGAATCCTGCATACCTAATTCCTCCAGCGCCACTTCCTGAGGCCGAGGATTTCCTCTAAAGCAGAGGTGTTGCTAAGGTCTCCCAAGACAAGTTTTGAAAAGCACTTCGGAAGCTCAGAGGAGCCCAACCCTTGGAAGGGGGAGCTCTCCCCCACCTGATAAAAACATGACCCGGAGACCTGTTGCAGCTTCGGTGGGTTCCCGGCTTGGTGCTCAGAGGTGGAAGAGGTTGATCTGGCGGCCTCCCTCTCTGGCCATCACGGCTGAAGATTGTGACTGGAGGCTAAAGACAAAAAACTTGCAGACCTTAAGCTGGGACTCCTGAGGAGCCAGCCTTGGGAGGAGCAGACAGCAGGCGCTCACTTCCAGCCCTGCGGAGGTGGGTTTTTCAGAAGCCACCCAGCTCCTTCAACAAGGTGAGGCCCAGCAGGGTGTTTGGAACCGAGGATGGCAGGAGGCTCCTACCGCTCCTTCCAGCTTGCCTTACTGGGCCATCGGGCTTCCCCATGACGGTTTTTCTAACCCAGACACGAACCGTCTGGCCAAAGCCAGTGCACGGCCCTTAATTTGGCTTATTCAGCGAAGTGGCTTCCTCGGATTGAAAAAACGGAAATGGCGAAGGACGCTCTGCTCCTCGGGCCCTGCCGGGTGCAGAATTCCTTCCCCCATCCTTGGATTTTGCTCCCCTTTGTTCTGGCCCGGCGGAGGCAACGAAAGCCGGCGCTTGCTCTCCGCAGCAGCCTCTCCAGGAGCACAGGAGGG